TATGAGTCATACATTCAAACTACAGGAGACCTGATTCTGACTCGTCTGTTTCTACACTGTAAAACTCGATGAGTTACATCAACTCAATCAACTTAAACCATTTAGGTTCACAATTTAGATAAGTAAAATTAAGTTTATTGAACTAATTTCATTCAGTTAATTGAAGTTACTTACATATGCAGAATTTCACCAAACTGCTGGTGGAGCAGCAAAAAAACACAGTAAAATAACCATAAAAAACAACTCGTAAAAATACAGTAAATCTCTATCATTACAATACAGTTTTTAGCTTTAATTTTACATAAAATCTTTTTTTGTTTGTTTTTTTAATGTTTAATTAAATATATTTACACTGTAAAAACAATTAAATGAGCTATAATACAAATAATCAGGCTTAAATTTACAGCAGAGTGCTGTTATTATTTGATTTTCCTTATTTTAATCTAAATATTAAAGTTTTAGAACTGTAATTATTGCTGTTTTCACTGATAAAAACTGTATTTTTACCGTTTACCAATGCTCATACACTGATAAACAACATTTATTCAACGTTTTTGTTGTGAAAACTTCTGTAATTATACAAGATATCTGGCAATTAACAAACAAATCCATGTAAAATTACAGAATACTGTTAATTGTCGCTAATTTTACATCCTTTTATGTATTAACAGGATTAAACTTGGATTTAACAGTTTAATCTATTAAATAAACAGTAAATATCTACATTTTTATGATCATTTAATTATAGTTTTTCACGTTATTTTACATTAGATGTAAATTCACAGAATATTTCAATATATTTTTAAAAAAATACACAAAAAATCTGTAAAATAAACGTAAATTAACCAGATTTTTTTTTTTACTATAAATCTGTTTTTATATTTTATTTTGAGGCCGTTCATTCAGCCGCCCCCCCTCGCTGCCCTACATGAGTCCTTCCACCCTCTCCTTCTCCCCCAGCACACTTTCTGCACCTATTTTAGATTTAAAACCAGGCCAGGCAGCAGAGCTCAGGGCTCTCATCCTCCTCATCCTCCTCATCATCATCCAGTGCCTGTCACATTAAAAGCACAATAAGGAGAACATCTGGGAGCTTCTTGCTGCAGCACTTTCCTTCACTGTGGGTTTTTAAAGTCTAACGATTGAGGCTAATAACGTAACCGGTGGGTTATTTTTAGCCTGCACGAAGATGCGCTCAGCAGTGATGGCGACGGCTTCCTCCCCCCCACGGACCCCCCCTCTCTCTCCTCCTACGCCATGATGACGTCGTGCTGTTACGCAAATCCAGGGGTTCACCTTTTGTGGACCTCCAGCACCGCTCAGCTCCCGGTGCGGATCGATAAGAGCCATATGTGCTTCTGCTTTTCTTTAATTCCTCTTTCAGTAAAGACACTTCTGTAAAACTTGGACACACCCTGTAATGCATGAAGCACCTGCTGCTGGTGCTGCTGCTGGTCCTGGTTCTGGTTCTGGGGGGGTTATCTGAAGTGGACCGGGTCACACAGGCTCCACACAGAACCACACCTCACACAGAATAATGAATAAAACAGCATGCAGTGACAGAAAGTGGGACACTTAACTATTTGTAGAGGTGCTGGAGACACAGGTCGAGGCATTCCCCTTCCACCTCGTCCTCAGTCACCAGGTCCGACAAGGGGCGCATCGGAACCGGGTCGCTCTCCTGCAGAGGCATTCTCATCTCCCGGAGGAAGAGCTCCAGGAACCGTCGGAAGGTTTTCTCCTCTGCTGCAGAGCCGGCCATCATTTCTCATTCCTGGACAGACAGAGAGACAGACTCCGGCCGTCAGAACCGAGCCGCTGAGGAGGGAACAGTCACTCACACTAGAACCGGACGAGTTGGGGCTGTCGGTGTCTGAGCCGGACTACCTGAATGAATGTGGAGCACCGGAGGAGGAGGAGGAGGAGGAGGAGCTGTTGAGTGCCGGTGTGTGTCTGAGAGCGGCGGACCGGACCGGACCGGACTGGAGAGGAGAGGAGAGGAGCCTGGAGTGGGGGGGTGGACCGACCGCGTCTACGTCTCCGGTTGTACTAGAGCTGGACTGAGACCCCCATTCAGAGCCGAGCGGGAGCGCGCGCCGCGTTATCAGGGATTTCGGATGATCAGAGGGCGGTGACGTCATAATAAAAACAACTGTCAGAGGGGGGGGGGGAAAGTACGCAGCAAGCGGTGGTGAAACGTACGACTAGCTTTTAGTAGGACATTAAGGTTACAATATATGAAGCATTTCGCCGATTCCACACTTTCTGGATAATATATAATGAGAAAGTTTCTCCAAACGACGAGAAAGTATCAAAAGTTATGATTCAATGTCTCAATATTATATTTGAAGTCTTTATATTAACTTACAGAATCTTTTTTGTGGCAGAAATGAGCTTTAACACTGTTAATAAAAACTAAATTATATCAGAAGACCTTTTTTTTATCATCGTAGAAACATGTCACAGTCTCAAAAGTACATTTTAGAATAAAAACTTTATTTAAAAAGAAAAGTTCATAAATGATAATAATAATACTAATACTACTAATAATAATGTATGTTATTTATAGAGCTCTTTTCAAGCTACTGAGACACTTCACATTAGTTATAATACAAAATGTAATATACATAATACATGTAATAGGCAGCATTACATGTAACTGTAATCAGGATACAAAAAAGGTAACTGTAACTGTTATATGGTAACTTTAACCATAAAATCAACAGTACTAATATTATTTTACTGTAATAGTAGAAATGTTCTACCCTGTTTATTAAGGTAAAGTTGCCACAGCTGCCAGTTTTTTAACATAAAATTACATTTTTGGGATCATGTGACCTCTCAAAGGCTTTTAGCTGCAGCACTGAAAGCCTTTAATAACTGATGAGAGCGTAAACGTCTCATCAGATGAACACAAACACGGTGGACGTTGAGCTGAGCGTGGTCGTCTGCTGTGATCGTAAATATCTGAATGTTTCTTTCTTTCCCTCTGACACAGAAAGTCTTTCTCCTCCCAACAAATGTGTTTCAACTTATTGTTTTGTTTTTCGAGGACAAAATGCCAGAAATTCTTTGGTTTTCTGTTGTGTTTCACTTTTAATGGAGAATCTTTGGGTTTTAAACTGTTGATTGAACAAAACATAAAAGAACATTTGAAGTTGTTTCGTTCTCTTCTGACATTTAATACACAATTAATTGAAATCAACTGAAAAAATAACCAACAGATTAATTAATAAAGGAGTTTGAAGCCCGAATGTGCAAAATTGTAGGGTTTAGTTATGTACTGAAGAAACAATCCTTCTAGAAACAAATATTCTTAAATATAATAAAATATTATTTTATTGAGCAAAACATAATCAGCCATTTTAACTTGGCTAGAATTCTTATAACTATAAAAATCAGTCACTGAAAGACTGAAATAGACTTTAAAACTAGAAAAAATACTGAAGTTGTTCTTATTACAAGCAATGAAAACTTAGTTATTGAAAAAAAGACTTTTAATTTATCTGAATTTAAGAATTTGTGATGTATTCTAACATAATTATCACAAAAAAATGTATTCTTACAATGAGACACAATTTCTTCAAACAGACAAAATAAGTGACTTTGTCTTAAATTCAGGCACCAGCAACATTTTTATTTTTATCATTTTTATATTAAAACACTGTAAACTAAACAGCTGCTTTATTTCCAACACTGGAACCAGACGACTTTCTCTTAAACTGAGAAGTTGTTCGAGTGGTTTAACTCTTAACATAAGGACAATAATCTGGTTCCTCTGCTGAGATATTAAACAACCAGTGTTCTTACTGGTTCAATCTACCTTAATATTAGCTGTAATATCTTACTGAGACACAGTTAGAAATATCTTCTTGAAACCAGATAATCTTTCTAATGTAAAACATGCTCGACGAGATTATTTTTCTTTTTAGACAAAAAATAAGACTCATTCCCCAGAAACATTTTTTTTTACTTTCTTAAGATTCATTGTTTGCAGTGTGTACATATATAAACTGTATCTGTACAAGAAGATTTAAGAAAAGAAGATCATATAGAACTTTATTTTTCCTGTGATGCTGCAGTTTCAGTAAAAGTAAGAAGATTGTAAATTATAAATACAACCACACAGACACATATTATTATTATTTAATGCAGGGATTGTTTATGAATCTGAAACATGTCTGGAAGGGATCTTTAACTAAATGTAACCTTTTAATAACAGTCTGTCTGTATGTGTCCAGAACAGTTATTAGATCCTGTTAGAGGAGCTTTTGGAGCTTTTGGACTTTGTTTATGGACAATATGACAACAATAATAATTAAATTAAATTAGTAATATATTCATTTATTATTTAATTGTTCTGTATTGAATCATTTTGTTAATAATATAAATTCTAAACACTGAAACCGGATGAGTTTAACTCAAAGTGTTTTTTACCTCCAACAACTTAAGTATGAAAAAATAAATTTACCCGAGTTACCTTAACAATAAATATTAAAGTGCTACTTTTACTCATGTTTTATTTTCTTTATTGCAAAACTTAACAAGTATTGATTGTAACAGTAAAAAAAAATAAAATACATATTAAAACAAAGTTTTTACTGAAGTAATTAATCTTCTTCTATTAACCAACAGCGGAACCCTGAAGAAAGTGTTGATTCTACTCGGACATTTTAGTCGACGAACCCGGAAATAGGTGCGTCGTTGTTTTTCCTCCCCTGTTTTTATTTAATGTTGTATTTTTATTTCTGTTTATCTGGATAATAAAGTCTATATAATATTATCTTAAAGTTCCAGACCTTGTTTGTTTGTTTATACTGTCAATAAAGACAGAAGAAGAAAAACATTTAATTCTGTAATCTGGTTTTTTACAGTGTTTTACTTTCTACTTTCTTTATTGTAAAATGTAACTAAAACTTTGATTTAATTTAACGTTAAAGTAATAAAACTTATAAGAACAGTCAGATTAAATATAAAACAATACATAATAATAATAAAACAGAATAAAATAAAACTTTTACTGAACTAAATAATTTTTCTCCTACGACAGAATATTAAGAAGACTAAGAATTTATTTTGGAAATTAGGAGAATAAAGTAATAATAATAAAGTTGTTTTAATGAGAAAAAAGCTTCGATCTATCTTTATTCTCATAATATAGATAATATAATAATAATATGATGACTGAACAGATATACATTTATACACATAGATATTAAACATTAATGTTGATATAATGTAAAGGTGCAAGGTGCATACATACTGTAATATAAATACACTATATATATATAATATGTACACACACACATATATATATATACACGAGATATGATATGATATATAGCATATGTATAAT